TCGAGTTTTTTTTATTTTTGCATAAAAATGTTATTTTTTATGTTTCAATTTTTATTTGAATGATTGTATGAGTTTGATATTACATCAGTTTTTTCTCTTGCAATAATAAATTATTTTAATTTTTATAAAAACTTTCTCTTTTTTTCAATGCACATAGTTTGATATTTGTCCAGTATTATCATATTTTTGTTAAATATTTTTTGATATTTGTCCATTTTTATTTTTATTTGAAAAAGAACAAATCCAAAGCCTCCCTTTGTTCTAAAGAATTTGAAGTAAAAAAAAAATTCTTTAATTTACCTCAAAACAAATATTGTATATACTTGTGTAAAAGTCAAACCCTTTAACTTTGACTCCCTCAACCAAAAAAAAAAAAAAAATTTCTTTTAAAGCATATGTAAAATATTTAGTTTAGTTTTTTCCTTCATAATCCAAGAATTCATATAAAAGCAAGGAGTTCTTGGTAATATTTCTTTCTTTTTTGTCAAGAATAATACATCAACATTGAAATTAATGTCATGGTTTTTTCCCAAAAATATCCAGCTGTTTTAAATATCTCAGAAACTGGCTGTGGGGCCTTGATATAACAAGACATTGATAATATTCACATAGCACAATTATTTTTAAGCTCTTGTAAACATTATTAATCTCTTATTTATATTTTTGTCTAGTTTTTGTATCAGAAGTCATGAGAGAGCCATCTCTTCTTTTTCATCACCACCCCCATCATCATTTTGCTTTCTGTTCAGTACTATGCCTTACTGAGTCTTAAATATATATGCATTCTATTTACTTATATTCCAGTGTTAAGTAATGCTTAATGCAAAAAGTCTTTATATTCCATTTGCAATCATTATATTCTCATACAGTGTGATCTTTTTCATCATTTTCAGTCCCTTGACTGCTTCAATCATCAGGGGGACCCAAGGGCAGAAGAAACAAGCAAACTCTTACAAGATGATCTGTTGGGGGGGGGGCTCTCAGGAGATCCACCATTGTCATGTCCATCCACAATTTGATGTTTTCTGGCTAGCATTTGCGTTGATATCCCCACTTGTGTCCATCTTCAACATCACCTTGCATGATGGTATTGCAGAGGCCAACATACTATACTGTGTGATGTGGTCTAGTCTTCCAATGCTTAATAGTGGAGAGGATAGATTCCTGTCAGCCCATAAGACTTTTGACCTCACTCCATACATAGTCATTGGTTTTGTGCACTTAGTAGGAGATGCGGAGGAGCTTTTTCAAGCATTTGTTCTCGAATGCCTGGATCCTTTCTTCTGCCTCAATAAGGAGTGTAGTATACAAATTTCACACCTGTACAAGAGGATGGATATGACCAGTGATTTGTAGAACTTGAACTTGATTTTGAAGCTGATGTTGCTCTTCCTTATTCTTTCCAGTCTTGTTATCACTGCTGTGGTTGTGACGATCCATGTGTGGATTTCTATGTTGCAGGTGCCATCTTTTGTCAGGATTACTCCCAAGTATTTGAAGCTGGACACTTCATCCAGTGGTTTGCCATCCATGGTGATGCTGACACTGATGTTGCTTGTGCTGTTCACCATTACTTTGGATTTCTCTGTTTTGATTTCCATTCCATATATAGAATTTCTTTCATCAAGTTTGTTAGTCAGGTCTTGCAGTTCAGTGTTACTGCCTGGCATAAGGTCAATATCATCTGAGAAACACAGGTTTCAGACAAGTCTACCACTGATAGAGATATCCATTGATCTTTTTAATCTCTTGTAAATAGAGTCTGGCCAGAGATCTTGTTAATATTCTTGCCTGTAGCATTTTTGCTTGTACCCTCTTAAGTAAAACATTAAGTTAACCATTATCTTTCCTACATATCCTCATAAACTGCAGTTTTTACCACCTCCTCTTGTATTCATTGAACAAACTTAATCAGTAACCCTCTAAATTGAGTGGCTCTTGGGTCTTGTATTGGGTAAACAATTATCTAAAGAAAATACTGGACCATATGTAACGAATGATATGGTCTCAGAAATTGTCTGACAGCCATAACTGGGTTCTCCTGCTTGTGTGGCATAATGCAGAGTCCTTTTGCCAGATGCAGGGTCTTCCAGCAGCCACACTTTGACTCAGGCTAGCACTACCTCCTCAAGGAACTTGATGTAGGCCTCTGTTTTGGATCTGAGGTCTCCACCAACAAATTCAGGAGTTCTTATCATAATGATCAGTGTGAGTTTTCTGAGCTGCTGTACTGATAATTTTTGTGTTATCTGTTGGTCTCAAGAAACTTTGGTTCTGCACCCAAAGAGTTATGCCTCATCTGTTGATGGCAGTGCAGCATCTGTTATAGTTGTACAGGCCCAAATGGGAGTGACAGCCTTGATTGCAATGAATGCATGTGAAGAGGCTTTACCATGCTGTCACCTTTTTTTACTCCCTGTCAAGCATGGTTCTCCCTGGTAACAAGTCTTCATTTCTCCTCTTCTTGTACCAGCTCTCAGTGTAAATCATATCTGAAGTGTGAACAATTGCTGGCAACGTCTTCCTACCTATCAATGTTCATGTCCATCACCCTCATGCACCTTTTGCAGATATCCTTGAAATGAAGATGAGGTCGCCCTCATACCCTCTTGCTGGTGACCAGTTCACCATAACTCTTTCAGCCCAGAAACAAGGTTCCTTGAGACTGACAAAGGACCTTCAGAATCCTCCGATCCAGCATATGGTGTACATGTCCAAGCCAGCAAGCAAGAGTCAAGTCAAGATCCAGAGCTTTGATTATACTGCTGTGGGTTTCCCAGTCACTGGGGTAGGCAGCAGTTAGCTAGTTCCTTTTTTTCCAATAATCCCTGTCAAGTGGGCTAATGTTTGCAAGGCCACACTCCTGCACATCCCTCCCAATGTAGTCCTTTCACATTTTCCTAGGTCTACCTTGACCTCTGTGAACAGGAACCCTGAACTCTGAGACAGTCCTAATGCATAACAGAGCTCGTTGAATGCGACCAAACCATCTAAGATGACAGGTGTGCAGCACTGATGTTATATCCTCAATAGTTAACAACTCAAATGAGGGGGTTTCATACTGAGGCTCGATGCAGCAGATCCAATGAATCATCAAACATTCATTGTGGCAAAGAAACCGCAAGACCAAAACACTTGGTGCTAAAGTCTCACTACCATAGAGCAGTGCAAACTGTACACAGGAAGAGAACAATTTGCCACAAGTTCTCAACAATGTATATTTGGATGTGAGAATGGGTAGGAGCATTTTGAATTTTCCCTAAGCCACAGAGCAGCTGGTTATAATGGTGATTTTGCAACCTCCATCTGCGCAAAGCATATCCCCAAGATAACAGAAATAGGGCTCAGTACCCATTTTTGAACAGTCTAAAGTGATTTGGGTAGAGGGCTTGCCATCAATAGGGCATGCTTTGCTGTTGCATCTAGGGCAGATGTAATTGGGTAGTTCAGTTAGATCACCAGTGATGCCACTGCATTTCTTGCGCACCCAGGTATTGCATTTGGAGCACAAGCAATAAATAATAATAATGAAGAACATAGGCAATAATAAATATTTTAATAATAAATTAATATACATTTTTACAGAATTGGTTTCAATCATAAATGAGAAGGATGTGTTTGATGAGCAAGGGGGCTGATATTTGGTTGTATGCCTTTCAGCCATCTTTTGGCACACAAGCATTTATTGACAGCCTTTTTAATCCCCAAGGCATTTATTGACCTATTGGATAGTCCCATTTAGCCCTAGGGGCCAATATCAACCACTTTGGGGAGTCTTGAATTAAATGAAGATCTAGGGATTGACTGAAAAGTATCCAGCCAATTTGAATATTTTGACTTTCTTCAAATCCAAGGAGAGGGTTATTTTGCCAAAATATTTCATGACCCAAGTCTGGCACCCCACCTAGAGTTCAGATTTGACACTCTTCAACTTGATGGTAATCCTGGAAGAGGATTCTGTATATTGTTTTGAAAAATGGAACGGTCGTTGGGATAAGTGTGTGAAGTCCCAATGGGAATACTTTGAAGCAGACTAAGTTGCAATGACTCTAGGTAGATTACTCTTTTTTCTCCATTAATATTAAAAGGCTGGAACATTTTTCCACACATAAGTTGTATAGGATTACCTTAAATTTTACTGAAACTCACAAATTTATCAGTTAAGTCTCCTTTTATAAAGAAGATAAAGTCAACTCTGAGTAAAACCCAGAAATGTGATGTGACAATTTTTGTCTGAAATTAACCATCGCAGGAAGACATGATAAACCCCATTGATATGCTATACATATCAACATACAGTTTTAAATGTCATAATTCTCAGCACAGAGAAACCAAATAATAATTCTACCAAGCATGTAAATAATATTAAGTCTCTCAGTGATGCATGAGGTTTGTATTAATCCCAGTAAGCAAGTTAAATTTGACAGATAATAGCATTTAAAAAAAATCAAATATAAATCTTTTGTGTTTGAATTTTTTTGACATTTTCATCATCCAATCATCTTTTAGCTTTTATAAAGCTGCGATTCATTTTTAGAACATTGTCATAATTACTGTTATTTCTTCATTTATATTAAAAGACTACAAAACACTTGAAATATGTCTTCTTCGGAAAGTAGCCTTGTATTCAATTAAAACATTTTATTTTTGTGGTTTCTTTCCTTCTTTTATGAAAATGAAAACTAAAACATGGCAGCCATTAAAATCAACTTTTGTATGCCACTGGCTACTTTCTAATGTTTGCTTCCATGGCCTAATAATAATGGATGTACAATGTGGCTCCATATTTTTGAACAAGTTGGGTTTCTGCTAATTAGGCATGCAAAACTGTGTTGAAAAGTTCTCAGGCCAACCAAGAAAAACGTAACAGATTTTTTTTTTTTCTCAAAATTTTGGGAGCTGGTCAGGCTAAGAATCATTCAACCCCACATTATATATTATAATAATTCTATTAATTACTTATCACTGGAATTTCTTTTGCTTTGCTTTATTTGCAGGCTTATGACCAGATCATGTTGAGACAGTTGGTTCCCATAGGATCACCAAAGATAAGTGACATTGAACCTGGTCAGTACCTAGATGTGTAACCACTTGGGAATACCAAGTGCTGTAAGCTTGTGTGTGTAGGTGGTGAAATGAATAATGGCTCGGAATTGTATGCTTGGATGTGCAGGCAGGGTAATGAATACTGGATTGGCATTGTTAATTGGAGAGTTGAATTTCAATTCCTGTTGGTTTTGTTATATTCACTTATGCACAAATACTCTTGGAATGAATCCACTTCTTCTGCCCCTAGCTATGGGTTAATTAGTAAAACTTTTATCATTAAATCATTATCTCGAGAAACAAAAATTCTTACAATCTAAGGATATGTTGGGGCTTTAAATAACCAGTTAAGGATTGATAAGCATAAGAAAATGAATGAATCGATCACCTAAGTTAAGTAACACCTAGACTGGTCAGTACATAGATGGATGGTCACTTGAGAATACTAGGTGTTGTAAGCTTAGATGTGTAGGCGGTGAAATGAATAATGGCTTGGAATTGGAAACCAGAGAGCCAAGTTCCAATTCCAGTTGGGTTCATTATATCATTATGTGCAAATACCCTTGGGAAAGGTATGAATCCATTTTTTCTATTCCCAGCTAGGTGTTAAATAGTAGAATGTATGTATTAGTAATTGTTTCCCACTTAGTATTCAGCGTCCAATTACTTCTAATATCACTGACTAAACTCTGAAATTTATGCTATCATTGGGTTTCTGGTCCATTTTAAGGTTTTTTCCTTCTCTTTCATGTCCAGTAGACCTGTTGCATCTTAGTGGCATTATTGCCTTATTTGGAGTGAATTGATTAAAAAAAAAGAAAAAGATTTTTTAGAAGAAATATAATCATCTTATTATCATTCTGCTTTTCCTTCCCTTACTTAGCACTGCCATTATGCTCTGCCAATAACTCATGAATAATGGACTATTCCATTTTGATTGCATGGAAAGATTTGTACCCATTTACTTTTTAAAATAATGACCAGCATTGATATTTATGATTGTTTATTTATATTCTGTCAAAGTTGTTGAGCTCAAATATTTAATGATGTGATAAAGGAATTTCTACAGATATTTTATTGTTGTAGAACTCATCATGTGTATATTCAATCATACATAGGGTCTAGTGGCCCCTGCTATTTACTTTGAGCTCCTTGATAAGATCCAAAGAAGAATCAGCAATATTACTGGTCCTGATCTGGCAGCTCAGCTTCAGTCACTTTCCCACCACTGTAAGGTTGCCTCTCTATGTCTTTTCTATAAAAACTTTTATGGTAATTGTCCAGATGAGCTCTTCACTATGGTACCTAGACGTTTTGAATTTAAGCATAGTACTAGATGACATTGAGGTCTCATCAATTTATAGTTGAGTGGGCTAGATATAGCCGTAAGTTCTATGCAAAAAGTTTCTTTCCTTGCACTTCTCACTTGTGGAACTCCCTTCCAACTTTAATCTGCAAAAATTTAAATGCAATGTCAATCAATATCTATTATCCCCCTGATTACATTTTTCTTTTCCCACTCATTATTGTTTCTGTTGCTAATTCTTCCACACCCTGTAGCTCCTTGTGTCTTAGTGGCTTTACTGCCTTGCATGGGGTTATAATGATTAAAAAAATTATTAGCCTTGGCATATTCACATACATATGCACACACACACACACGTGCGCACGTGTGTGTGTGTATGTATGTGTGTATGTGCTTTTCCCTTTTCTCTTTCTGCTAAGTAATAATGTTTCTGTTGTTAATTCTTCTACACCCTGTAACCCCTTTTGTTTTAGTGGCTTTATTGCCTTTTATGGGGTGATACAAATTAAAAAAAAAGAGTAATTTAAGAATTAAGATTCATCAAAAAATTAAAATAGCAAAGTTGTGAAATTTTCATGGGTATTTCTAGTATATTCATATTGTTACTAAATACATTATTAAATACAGTATTTTGGCTTAGGCATCACAATTACCTTTGGAGTGATAGTATTTGCAATACATTTATACACATGAAAGATTCACCAAGCCTTCTTTTTTCACTATATGTCATAGAAATTTCAAATGTCTTTTTTATTCATATTCTAAGTATAAATTACTTTTTTGTTACTATGTTCATTACAAATTCCTTGTCACTTTTCATATTATCTACATAATTAGGTATTGATACATAATTAGGTATTGATACATAATTAGGTATTGATAACAAAACTAGGAAGATAATACCTAATAATGAGCTTGCCATATTTTTTAGGATTTTAATTAATAAAAAATTGGAAAAATTTATTTCAAAAGTTTCCATAGGATTCATAATTTTCTTTTCATGATTTCCAAAGATCATCTCTGTATGATTAATTAGAATTATTTTAAATCTGTTTGAAAAGGAAAAAAATGAAATCACTAAAAATAATTTTTTGACTCATTAGCATGAAAAATGGAAATAATGAATTTTTTAAATTTTTTACTGTTTCGAGATAAAATGTATTTGGTTTTAGCAAAGTTGCATGGCATCAAATTGACAAAGATGGCTTTTGAGGACATCACTGTAAGGTAACATTTCTTGGATGATATTATTTTGTCAAATCTACTTTTAACATTATCTGTATTCTTAATAAAACTTGGATGATAATGCCTAATAATAAGCATACCAACTTTGGTCCAGAGTCTCCTGGCCTGAAAAGTCTGTCCCTCATAGAGATGTGCTCATCAGTATTCATTCTGCCTAGGATATGTGTGTGTGTGTGTGTGTGTGTGTGTGTGTGTGTGTGTGTGTGTTTGTGTGTGTGTGTGTGTGTGTGTGTGTGTGTGTGCACTTCTTTTTTTGCATCAGCTCTGAAGCTTAAAAGGTATTGAGTCCTGAAAACACTTTATTATACATGTGACTGAAACCAATAATAAAAACTGAAAAAATGTCCCCGTTTGAGGCTTGGAAATTATGGCAAGCCCAGACTTGAAACTTAAGGAATATTGGGCCTGAAAACACTTTATTATACAAGAACATAAACTTTGTTCCAAGCTTTGAAATTGTGGTAAGTCGACTTAGTAATCAATTCTATTTGTACTAAAATTAAATGTAAAAAAAAATTGTAAATTTTGATATAAACTATATACAGCATTTTCTGTAGTTATTTTTAACAGTTTCAAAACAAATTTTGAAAATATGGATCCATTTTCAAAATCAAAAAAAAATTTTTTAACCATTATTGGTATAATAAATTTTCTTATGATTTCCATTACACGACCTTATCATATAACACATAATTTGTCCCTTACATGAACTAAGCTTACTATATGTTCTAGTTTGCAAAAGTCTGTCTCAGTGATATGATTTAACAGTATTTTTTTTGTGTGGGAGTGAGCTCCAAAGCTTTAGGTAGGGTTAGGTCATGAATTCATTTTATTATACAAAAAAAGTAAACTTATAATAAAAATTAAAAACTATCTTGGTTTGAGACTTACAAATTATGGTAAACATAACCTTTACACAAGTATATACCATAAACCAAATATTTTTTTCAGCATCTGCTGCTTTTTATACAAAATTTTTAAAATTTTAAGTCATGAACAATTTTTTTGTTTAAAAAATTTATCAGTAAATGAACCATTTTTCCTCAAAATAATTGGTGGTGAACTAAGAAACTGGGGCACCTTGAAGTAGCTGAGTGGTGGCTAACACTGCTACCTGATATATGAGTTGACAATTGGACTTATTTCAAGCTTAGAAGGGCATAAAAAGAATCAAGATTGACGTATAAACACATCTGTAGCTGTTTTTTTTTTAACACTATGGTTTGGATGTGTTTATTAGTTCATGTCTGAAAAAGAAATCTTTGGTAAAATCGTATATACACATCTACACTGGAGAAGGGGTTAATCAATCTTTTTTTTTCAATAAATAATTATTTTTTGTCAATAAATAATAAATTCTTTTTTTTTTTTAATAAATATTCAAGCAAGCATGTATGGGTGGTAGTAACAGGGATTAGCATGGAAAGCAGGATTATTGAAACAAATACAAATTCCAGTTTAGTCTGTTGCATTCACTTTCACACCAATGCAATGGTGAAGACATGAATCCATCTCTTTCCCAAGCTAGGGGTTAATAGGAGGGTATACTGCACTCTCTAACCTTGAATGGCAACCAGTTTAAGAGAAGGAAAACTCTGAAACTGTAGAAAATGCACTAGGCAAAAAGACTTTACTATCATTCCCAAGAATGGATGGCAAGGCCCAGATAATAAAGAAAAGAAACCTGTGGAGAGCCATCATCACCTATATTTTGAAGGGACCACTTTACTATCATTCCCAAGAATGGATGGCAAGTCACAGGTAATAAAGAAAAGGAAGCTGTAAAGAGTCATCACTGCTGACATCCTGAAGGGATATGGCATTTAAAAACATATCCAAAATCCATTTTGTGGGAAACTTTAGTAAACATATGTATGTCTAGAGTGAAGGACGTGTGAGTAGCATAATGGTTATCAGCATGACAAGTGGAAGTGGCAATCTGTGTTCAAATTCCAGCCTTGTCTGATGCGTTCACTTTTGTATTAAACAATTTTTTTTCTATAAGCAATGTAGGATTTTGACAAGAAGTCATATTGTTTAATTTTTTTTTCTGTGCTAGTGTTCAATAAATAGAAAAAAAAAGATTTTTCAATGTAACTAAACAAGGATAATTGGGAAAATCCTCAAATTCAGTATAAAATGTTTTTCTTTGAATTGGTAGGATCCTTGAATTCTGTATCAAATAATGGTTTTCTTAGAACTTGTAAAATCCTCAAATTCAGTATAAAATGTTTTTCTTAGAATTGGTAGAATCCTTGAATTCAGAATCAAATAATGGTTTTCTTAGAACTGGTAGAATCCTTTAATTCCATATAAAATAAAGACTTTTCTTAGAATTGGTAGAATCATTGAATCCTTAAGATTTAGTCAAATCTGAGTATAATAGCTGATAAATAAGTTGTTTATAAAAAGAATAATTGCCTTGGAAAAGGCATGAATCCATCTATTCACCCCACCCCAGGTAGGGGTTAAATAGCTGGATTATCTTGCCTGGAGTGGCAGCTAGTCTAGTAGAAA